TAGATATTTTAAAGGTAACATGAAGGATTCCTGTTTTGGAAGCATATTCAACCTGTAAACTATTGAATATTATAAAATAAGATACAATAACCCCAAATAAGTTAGTTGAAGCTATGAATAGCACCAAATGTCCCCTTGCAATTTTGGACACGTGGCTAGTGGACTTTAGTTGAAGGTAGTGACTCTAAGAGTTTGGACATTCGCTACTGACTTTGGTTTATAACACATAATGATTCCTCATGGCTTAGTGTTACTATCTCTGTTATACGGACAAGGAAAAAGAGGTTCAGAGAGGTTAAATAACTTGTGAAAGTCACAGAGCTCATTAACTGTGGTATTAGGATTCAAACCACATCCGTCTGGTTCAAATCCAAGTACTTCAGTAATGCTGCATGCATTTCCCCATGTAAGCTTCTAGAAAATGCCAGGGACTGTACATGTCCCCTTAGAGTATATCCGTTAATTCTCACAATAACAGTTAATTCCTACAATGGCAGAGAAACAGAAAGAACATGGGCTCTTATTTTTAAAATTCCCAAATTTTATTTCTGAGCATGCCCTCCCTGTATGAACGTAAGTGACATTGACCTCTTTTATTCTACTTCATAATAAGATAACAATATCCCCTTCCCAGGTTTATGGCAACCCTCTGACAGCCCGTGAGATTGTGTTGGGTTGCAGGCAATCTGTAGCTGTCGGTTTCCTTTCTGTATCTCCAGGCTGTGGAAGATGAGAGGAATGTTTGAGGGAGTGAGTAATTTGCCCAAGTTCATCCACCACGTTTCCTGATGGCAAGTTCCATGTTCTTTCCACTGCCCCAAGCCACGTTTCTCTGAATCACGTTTCTGTATATCGACAGTCAACTAGATGATATCAGAGCTAGAATTACAAAGGCCAGGGTTCACTTTCCACCCCTGTAAAGACTTCCCACATTTTCTTAAAGTCAGGTACTTTGGTCCAGGAAGACACAGTATTGCGGGGATGCTTTTTCCTTCTAAGTTCAACTGTAATAACATTTCTTTATGGTCTTACTGTAGCCATCATGTGTAACATCACGCTGGATGCCGATGGATTTTCATCGAGAGTAACCTCCAGGGGGGTATTTAAGGAAAATAATGAGAGGTTCCTACAGAAGACCATGGTAGTAAATCAGGCACAGAGCTGCTCGGAGCACGTCATTCAGATACAGGTGAGGCCTCTGGCCGTCATCTCTTTTCACCTCGTTTCTTCTTAAAGTCTAATGAAAGGTGAAAGTCTAAACATATGCATTAGAAAGTGCTTGCCCTTCTAAGGAATGCCTTCCCTGTCTAATCCCATCAACGGGAGGCACATTCCCTTTTGCTAATTCTGATGATCACATTCTATTATTATGTACGTCAGTAGTGTTACATTTCATTTGGAATTGCAACTAAAAGGGCTGGAAATTAGATTCTGAAAGAAATCAAAGAAAAAGTTTGACAGAGAGAACTTTCCGTTGGCCCTCAATTTTATTTTGACATTTTCCTATCAGGGAAAAATGTCATGCACTTTTAAGCTGCTGAAAAAGATCAGCTCCACTGTGGTTTCCACTATTCAAGTTGACATAGATGAAGTATGGGGGGTTATGAGGTAAAAATTATTCACTCTAATCTGATGTCAGAATGACTGTCGTTCACATGAACTTTGAAAACCTCCCAAGTAGGAAAAATGCTTTTCAGGAGAAAACCTCCAGCAGGAAATTTATTTTATAAATGACATGGATATTTTCCCCCTTAGAAACCACAGAATAGTATTTAAAAAAAGAAATTTACTCAGGAAACCACTTTTAAAATGAGCTATTTAAGTACTTTCCTAGAATATGGTTCCCAGAGTGTAAGATGCAAAAGAACAGCCAAGAAAACTTTGATAGAGTCCATATTCAGGGTCCCCAACACCAGAAATCTCAGTTGGAGGGTTCAGGGAATATGCAGGTTTAAGGGGCACCCCGAGATTTCTGATGCAGATGGATAGGCAGAGATGAGACTTCAAAAAATGCTAAGAGTTGGAAAAACATAAACGTTAATAGTTAGATGAATTAAAAGCAATTTTTTAATTTTTTGTTGAATTTGAAGGTTGTTTGTAAAGACTTTTTGTAGTTAAGGTGCCAATTATAGATTCTTTACAGGGCAAAAAAGCTGGTTTCCGTACTCTCCCATCCTGTGCTAAGTGGTGGATCAAATAATCTATATTGGGGGAGTGAAGACAGCCAGGCTGTTTTTTGTTTAAAAAAGAAACAAAACTCCACTTTATTATTTGACATTAGTGCCAGTTAAAATCCATCCTATGTGTCAAGTCTGCAGCCAGTTCAAGAAACATCTCCTCTTGGTCAAAGAGCTGTCCTGTGGATGGGTCCCCAAAGGGCTCAACACTTTGGACAAAGTCCTGCCTCGGGATGCATTAAACAGTACTGAAAATACCACTTCTCAGGAAAAGGCAAATTAGAATTTTAAGGTTTATCATGTGTATATACGTGGTGCTTTCCTGACAAGAGCTGAGAAATGGTTTACAAGATGGCTGAAGGACTTTCTTAGCCCCGTTTCAGCAGTCTTCCATTTTCATTAGACAGAAAGCCTCAAAAAGTGGAAGGGCCCATGACGTCTAGAATGCAAATCCCCAATGCTTTATACTGGAGGCGAAGTGGAGGAGCGGTACTTGTAGGTCCAAAGGGCTGGATTTGATGACTCTCGAGTGATACATGCATCCTCTTGTATGGCAAAGGAATGATGCAGATCCGAACAGCTAGGGCCAGAATTCGGGGAGGTTAATTTAGGATGTGGAGATCACATTTATCAGATTTGGTGGAGCAGAATCAGCCTACGACCAAGGAAGGGGTCTATCACCTGATAGCCAGCCCAGGGCACCTTCCCTTCTACGTATAATTTTCTCTTCCAGAATTTGGCCAGAAGACCTAAGGACTCTTAAATCTTGGCAATAGGAATAGAGGGTGTGATGACAATCCAAGAGCTGGGTACGGACAGATGAGTCTTTTAAGCATTAAAACTGGAAATAACATCCAGACATTACATTTACTGCATATGAATAATGAGATTACTGATGAGCTGAACTAAGAATCCCTGTTTCAGATTTTTACTGGACTTAAGTTACCTACAGTTTCTTGCAATAGCGAGGCTAAAAACAATCAGGACAGAAGAGAAGAAGCAAGAATCTTGATCATTCAAAACAAGGATATTCGACATAATTGAGGGCTCTGTTCTTAATTATAAACACATTTGTGGTCATTTTATTGTTTTAAAACTACCATGCCCTAATAAATTTTTGTGTGTGCGTGTGTGTGTTTAGGAGCCCTCTGATGTTGTGAACCCTTTGGATCTGCGTGTGGATATCAGTCTGGAAAACCCCGGCACTAGCCCTGCCCTGGAAGCCTATTCCGAGACTGCCAAGGTCTTCAGTGTAAGCGCAGCCTACCTGCCCTTCCTGGATTTCAGCGGGCTATCCAAGTTTCACAGTCACTGTAGCAGTGTTTGAAAGATGCTTAGGACACAGCCTTCAAATTCTGAATTTTGTAAATACAACACAATTGCATATGTGTTCACTTCACTAGTGTTTTAGTTCCATGAAGGCAGGGATCTTTGTCTTTCTGGTTCACTGCTCTGTTTCCAGCCCCTAGAGCAGTGCCTGGCCCACTGGAGGTGTTCCAAAAATATTTGCTGAAGAAATAAATAAAAGTAAAGTGAACACTCTGTGCTCACTTAGAAGTTAAAATATTATCAATACCTGTGAAGCTGCGTGTTACTCCCCCCATCACATCCACTTTCATCTGCAAATCATGATCTTGAACTTGGTGCTTCTCAATGACTTTCCTTATGACGTTGCTCAATGTTGGCTGATTTTACGTTTTATGTGAATGGAATTTATACAATATGTTTCCTTCTCAAATTTACTTTTTCAACCCAAGAGCAAATGAATCTCTTTGCCTTTTTTGTAGATTCCTTTCCATAAAGACTGTGGTGAGGATGGACTTTGCGTCTCTGATCTAATCCTGAATGTCCAACAATTCCCAGCTGCTCAGTAAGTTTTATGTCAAAGCCCAGTGTAACAGGTGGAAATAAAAGTCACACTAGATTACTTTATTCAAAGAAATGTTTATGGGGCTCAGCGCCTGTGGCACAAGTGGCTAAGGCACCAGCCACATACACCTAGGTGGCAGGTTCGAATCCAGCCCAGGCCCACCAAACAACAATGATAGTTGCAACCAAAAAATAGCCAGGCGTTGTGGCGGGCGCCTGTGGTCCCAGCTACTTGGGAGGCTGAGGCAGGAGTTGGAGGCTTGAGCCCAGGAGTTGGAGGTTGCTGTGCTGTGAGCTGTGATGCCACAGCACTCTACCCAAGGGGACAGCTTGAGGCTCTGTCTCCAAAAAAAAAAAAAAAAGAAATGTTTATGGAGTCTCTTCCTACAAAAGAAACATTCATTCATAACTGGTAAAGACTTTTAAAAACTAAATTTTAATTTCCACCATCCACACAGGGGTAAAACAATAAGAAATATAAAATTGTCTTTATTCAAATGGTTTCTTTCTCTTGAATGGAATAGTAACAAAGAAGAAAACCCAATGGCGTTTACTTATTTAATGTCATTATCATTTGATAGATGGTTTATTATTAAGCAATTTTCTCAGTATTCCAAAGAAATCTGAAGAGTATATATTTTTTAGATGAGTAAAGTTCTTGAATACTGGCATTTTTAAACATCCTAATGACTTTCTTTTTTCTCCTTTTTAACAGAGAACAGCCCTTTATTGTCAGCAACCAAAACAAAAGGTTAACCTTCTTAGTGACACTGAAAAACAAGAGGGAAAGTGCATACAACACCAGGATTGTGGTTGAGTTTTCAGAAAACTTATTTTTCTCTTCGTCCTCCCTGCTGGTAGGTGATGACACCCTGCACTCAAACCTCTGCTGTGTTCCCTGCTTGTCGTCTGTCTTCTCCGCATCCTCTGTGTTATCTGGAGGGACACCTTCACTCTCGGCATGATCCATCCTCACTCTAGGGCTTCTGAATAGTTAAGCCGCATGAGAACATTGCCTGGCTCTGTTTCTAGGCCAGCTCTGCTTCACAGCTTGGGTCAGTTTTTCCTTTACCCTGAAACTTGGCAGCAGCAGCCAGACGCTCCTGTAACTCCTCTCGAGCCTTCTGTGAGATGAGGCCGCCACGGTCCACACAGATGCTGTGCACTTGCTCCGAGACGTTTGAGTTCCAAAGCTTCGTTGGAGCTTTGCAGCCACAGCTCTTGCTCCTGCCAAGATCATGCATTCCAGCACAGCCAGTTAATCATGTTGACTTGATCACTATTCCAGGAACACACTTGACCGTGAGGGCTCCCTGGTCCTTCCCCTACTGCCAAGCAATGAGGAAAAAGGAGAGGAGGAAAAGTTGAGATTTTCCAAACAAGTTGATTGATCAAATGATTAAACGGTGGTTTCATTTGGTCCAAAGTTAACATGTTAATATGAGCTTAATCAATCTAGAGTCCTAAACCTATCCTGACTTTGGCATTTAAATGTCCTGTGCCAAATGGCAACTACTTATTTTGAAGTGGAAAAGAAACTTGAAGAAACTAAAAAAGATACTTTCAATTATGGAAAATATAAATACTAATATGTGATTTTGTTTTCTTCTCTCAAAAATGTAAGTTTCAAAGATATTGAGAGAGAGGTATTCCCACAAAAGCATTTCTGAATATTGGATTAAAGTTCTTCATGTTGCTGAAATATAAAATCTATGATTTCCTTATGAGAAAAAAATCTAGTATTTATTCTCTTTTTTAGCCTGAGTTCAGATCCTGGTTATCTTTAGGGTTAGTAATGAAATCAGGAT